TTATATTCAAAAATTGGATGTAGGGATGCAGCATGTTTTGAGTAAAAACTGTAAAATCAGCGAGTCAGTATTCTTGTCTCTTTCGGGGGCCATCATCGTTTGGCTTGTCAATATTGACCTTTTTTGTCCCAGACTGTTGTTGGTAATGGAAAATGATACCTTCATGACAACGCTAAGAACAAAAAAACAATTGCTTATCCCTAACGGAAACGCAACTCTTCGAACAAAAGCTGGTACCCATCCACGTCGTAAGCTGATGTGTATTTGGTAAGACAAAGACGATATTGAATTGTTTCCTAGCAATGTAACCATCAGTTCTGAAGTTTGTCAAAAATTATGTTTTTTTGAGGCCGAATGTCAAAAAAAAGACTAAAATGGAGTATTCAGGGGTTCGGTTGGAAGGTTGTTCATCATCATCCACCCTATTTTCCTGATCTTGCTCCGTCAGATTTCCGTGTTTTCTGCTCTTATTATACAACTGTCTATTTTAATTTCATGTTTGGAGTGGGTCTTAGAAATCAAAATTCAGACTTATGGTCACATTTCACTTTCCACAAAATGGGCATCCGCCCGCTGGAAACCAAAGTGCGACAACCCTTTGGTCTTTCTTGGCAGTGAACCCCGTGGGTATAACAGGATCGACAAGTGCCACGCTGTACCTAAAAACGGAATTAATGTCACGCGAGTATAACTAAGTCTGTAATTTTATTACAATTATTTGCATGCTGAAATTTTATGGGCAGTAACAAATAAATTTTATCGGCGCTGATATCGCCCTAAGTATGATTAAGATCTGCAGTGCGGGCTGGCTGGGTATATCGCCAGCGGTTAATCAAGTTCCATCGAGTTGGGAAGTTGGAGGTTTTGTCGATTTTTGATGAAGAAATTAGATGTAGGTGTCATTTGTATTGCAGGGTTGTTGTAATGCACAGATGAATCAATCAAAAATCAATTATTATGGAGCAACTTGAGGCATTGCGTATAGTTTGAGTATGGTTTCAGTATAAATAAATGTAAGACTTATCCTAAACACTTTTGAAGGATTCTGAAATAGAAATACGGCTTAACTAAAATATAATTTACATTTCCGAATTAAAACATACTATTCTGAAATACCATTGGAGCTTTCTTAATTACGTATGACTAATTTTAAATTCAGATTACAGGACGCCTTCTAAAATACGCCTCTGGAAAGGTGAAGTAAATATCTTAATTTGCATCGTCATTTAGTAAATATTTTTGAAATCATTATTGAATTAATTACTCATTATTTCCAAAAACATAAACAATAAACTAATAAAATTGGTGGAATCATTCTAGTATGATTCATCGTTCCTTAAAATGTTTTATCATCGTTAAATGAATTAAAATCTGTTTTTTTTCCATATTTACACCTGCGACACTAATCCAATATAGCCCGCGGTAATGACTTCGTTAATGAATTGACTGTACGGGATGAATGAAAGTATTGTTGTTATGAAAATGCCCGCACTTTATTTATTTCCTATTAGAAACCTTGATAGTTTTAATCGTGATTCTATATACAACACACATCACAACACCTGTGTATTGTGTGTTGCAATTAAGAAATATTGATTCGATTTAAATTAAGTCCATGGTTCGTGGTATTTATAGTCTGCTTCTACATATACATATTTCAAAAAGTAGTAGCATTGTTTTTAAGTTAGGGTTTCATTTTACTCGACAATACGAAATAATATAGGTTTTTCAAATAACGTCTCAAATAATTCACACACATCGCTGTGAAGAATCTTATATTAAATTCTTATACTAATAACAGAAAAGCTAAAAGAGTCCTAGTCAACAACTACAATATTTCTGCAACAAATTTAGTTATTAATTACGTTGTCAGAGATTAGTTATCTTGTTTCCTCTTTTGTTTTCTCTTTGTCTTACGCGATATCTCATAAATGTAATAGAGCTTTGAGTTTTAACCAATTAGCTACGTAATTGTGGTGTTTAAAATGGTGTATATTTACAGTAGTGATGAGTAATTGATATAGTATAAGGGGAGTGTCAACAAAATGCCGTTGTAGCTTCGCAATTGTATCACGGAACCTTTACCTTTGCGATTGCATCCTTCAGTTCGTACTTCAAAGGACTCAAGCAGCAGCATAGCTACAGGAAAATCACAGTGAACATGTTGAAAGACTTGTGCCACCTAGAATGTCACGGATTGAAGATATGTTTCACATATCGTTGAAGGAAATCCAACTAGTTCCAGAATATTGCACGACTAATTGAGGCTTCTTATACTAAAGTGTGTAACACAACTTTACGTGAAAGTCAAGTTTTCCATGTCTAGTAAGATCAGTCTTAAGCCATCCTAAAAGGGTACAGTTTGGTGAATGGCCCTACCTTATTCATACCATCGGTTGGAAAAAACAATATTCAGGTGATTCCGAACTCTCGTCGGATAATGAGGCAGATCTCCATCATGTAAATATCACATCATAACGAATATTCATCTTCCGATAATCTACATACATCTTCCAATAATTGGAAGAAATCGTTGCGAAGAAAGTTCAGGAAAGTCCAACAAAACCAATTAAACGATCGTCAAATGTTCCAATTATTTTAAAATCATATTGAAAACGCAAAATCCAAATTTTTAACACTGAATATACCTCTTCTGGTGAACATTGCCTCATCGGTGAATAAGCTTTTTGAAGAAAAATCTGTATCTTGCTTGTAATGATTCCACAAAAATGTACTGTTGTAAGACACGCTGTAATAAATTTGATACTAGGATAAAATAAAGCAGATAAAGCTGCTGTTCATGTAAAATAGAAAACGTGGTGCAAGAACTTACTTCAGCATCTCGTGCTCTTTGTTGGATACTAATAGTTGGATTTTCCTCATTCATATCTAAAATTTATTATTATTGTGTCGGTCGACTATTCCGATTAAGGGGGCAAAAACTACTCTTTTCTCTATATGTTTGAAACAACATTGAAAAACCTATTGTGATCAGTTTCTGCAATACTTCTTACTACAGCACGTTTTTTAAAATTTTGTTGATAGTAAACCGAAATCATATCTGTCATTTCATTATGGGTAAACAATTTTGACGAGGCATTTTTATTAAATGTTTTTTATTTATAACGTAGAATGTCAAAAACGAGATTTTATTTATCCATACCCATATACAGATCTGGTCGCTCAGTTGAAGAATAAGGGCGCGGGCAAACGCGGCTCAAACACAGCTGCAGTGGGCCACCTGGCTATAAATTCAGTAGTCAACAAATGGCCTATCAGTGCAGTGCAGCAATGTGGAATTTGGTGACATTCAGGTCATTTTAATTTATTATAGGCACCTTCTATTAATCATTCATATTACAATTACGAAAGGGAAAAATAAGAGGGATATTTTGTTTACTAATATTATTACAACATGGCATTTTGGAGACCTTTTGAAACGGAACAAAACGAAATTGACCATCTCATCATAGTAAAATTATTTGAGGACATAAATAATTAAAATATGGTGTTGGTCAAATGAACATACAGGGTGATTCACAACTTATCCAAAAAAAATTGGGAATAGATGCGGCATGAGAAATGGAGTTAATATTGTAAAAAAGAAATTTGTAAAATCCTTATAGTTTCTGAGAAAAAAATTATTGAAGTTATAGCACATTAAACCACTACATAGCTGGACAACTGTAGTCTCTAGCATCATTCGCCACGTGGCCTCATCGACTCTGAATACTGAATTCGGATTTTGCAATGGTCGTTGCGATATTTACCTGTTATCTGTGGTTTTTATAATACGTTTTTAGTAGTTGGTGTCAAAAATGGTTTGCGTGTACTCGGAGTTGATGGATATCGTTTTAATTTATGGTGAAGCGTTTGTGTTATGGTGAAACAAGACATCATTTGTGTTAGTTCGTAGAAAGTGAGTAAGACGGACCCAAATGTGTTTACACGTGAGTGGATAAAATTTTGAACAATTGCTGTTGCAGCATCGGGTATGTCAAATGATTTTATTATTTAAAAACACAAATTAATTTTATTAATAATTAATAAAGGCAAAAGCATTTGAATTTGCCGATATAAAATAGGTGCGATAAAATTCTATTTACATATTTCTTTCATTGCGAACGTTTTTGTCCGTTTTTATCACGCCGCCATACCGGTCGCATTGTGCGAGGTCAGGTTTTACAGTAGACCAGTTTCCAGTGCCGTGCAGAAGTGTATTTTTAAATCAATTTCGAACTGACCGTTTTGAATTTTTCTTTACAAAATTGTATTTGTAAGGGTCCCCTGTACATCCATTGGATAAGTTCTGAATCACCCTGTATAATAGAAATTTTCTAAACATTATATAAAAATTATAATTTTTTTACCTTTAGCAGAAAACTTTTTTAGGGACGCCTACGAAACTCATTCAATTTTATTGCTAGGCGTTTTTATACATGTTCAACTGACTTCGGAAAGACTATAACAACGGCAGTACGATAAAACAGATGATGAAATGCGATAGCCGACGCATTTCGCCATACATACGCATGCGCGGGAAAGATGTAATGTTATGTGATTTACCAGATTTTAATTATTTTTGCATTTTTCAGAGGTATATTTACCTCTGTTTATATTTATTCTTTTTAAAATCACATTGTACTTTAGTTTATGTATAATGTATTACGGAATATAACATTTTTACTATGTAAAAAGTAATTTAAGTATAAATCCGTTTTAAAATCAATTTACACTAAATATTATGGGAGAAAAGAAATTACCCAAGTAATTCAGTAAAAAAATACGTTATGTGATTTACCTCCATTTTTTCAGTGCACCTATGTACGGCAAAATACTGATTAAATTTGAATTCCGATCAAATTTGGTCCAAATGGTCCTAGTGTCAAAAAATATTGAGGAAAAACGATTTTTTTCATCTTCGTCTATTTTCACTCCAGGCACATTCCATTGCTTACACAACACCCTGTATTTATCCATGTCCACAAATAAAACAAATGTTCGTTTTTAATCTTATATTTAATATCATAGAGAGTAGTAGTCAAGCACTTATATACAAGCTGGAATTTGTATGTATTTACAGTATCTTTTTTTTCCATTTTTAGACCCCTGATAATCTAATTTGAGTCACGCTTAGGGCGCTTCCCAAAGTAGCACCACGTATTTTTCAGAAAGAAATTTGCAAAAATAAACACTTTCTGTACACACAAAGACATATTAGTAATAAAAATAAGGTTTATTGTAATCTTCAGCTGACTTTTTACACCTTATCATAGGACCTCTAAATGTTACAATAAATAGACATATAACTTTTTTTTTATTAAATAAGTATACATTTTCAGTTTTTGGACATGTTTCATTTTACATTAAGTAAAGGTCAGAATGTCTAGTAAAAATGTTATAAAATAAAATACTGCGTATCTATCAAAGACCCAAAAATACGGTTAATATTTGGAAATTTCAGTATTTATCTAATTAGCGAGATACAAAAAAATATTAGTTGAAGTTCAACGGCTGAAAAATTATTTTGAATAAAGTATTTTATGACATATTTGATCTTTTTAGGCCAGTTTTGTATTAGATAAATACTCAACATTTTTCCAAATCGAGTTACTAAAAAACGCCATAATAAATATGGAAAATCGGTTCTGGTAATAAAACGATAAAATAAACGCAATTACTGCTTTATTAGGACAATATTTTCAACTTTTTAAAAGTCATTTTTAATAAAGACATTCTTAAATGATGTGCTCACCCAAAAATATTAAATACCGTTATTCTATGAGTTGTAAAATGAAAATACACTCGAGAGACTATACTTACTTTAATAAGCTTCTAAAAACTAGTTGATTTTTCTTATAAGCGTATTTCGTACAAATTGAAAATATATTATTAATCTGGAAGAATGATTATGTTTATTTAAGTAATTACGGAGACATTTATTTCACTCTAAATTATGAAGAAGCTTCTAAAGCATATATCTAAACTATGCTCCTAAGTACTAATGTCAAATAACATTGCACGTTTCATCATTTTTATACAAAATATACACCAAAGCCTTAATTATAAACACTTTTAAATGGGACAAAAAAAGATTGATATAAAATCAATTTCATATCCGAACTATTTGAAAACGCGAATTACAAAAACTGACCTAACTTAAATTTGTCAGTCTCGAGTTGAAAATTGGGACGTTCGATTATTTAAAATCTCAAAATAGGCCACGTAATAAACTGTTTTGGGACATTAATAAAGTTTTTCCGCGCGAAAAGTATATTATAAAATTAATAACACTTCAAATTTTTTTACCCCTACAGAGAATCTCTTAAAGCTTTAGTAGCTTTTTTTACAAAGGAGTGTTGTCCAATAGTAGTCAGTCATTAGGTCCGAGTAATACAAAAACTAGGCACCCATATAACAGTCCAAATGTTTCAGGAATTGATTGTTGTTGTAATTTTTTATTTTTTAATTTAAATTTTCCCCCTCGTTTACGAATTAAAATAGACCATATGACGTCGCTATTGGCCTGATATTAAAATATATTCTTCTATATTTTGTAAATATATGTACATCTCTTAATCCTAGGTAAATCTACAAAGTTAAATTTGATAGAAAAATCCATAGATACATTTACAACACCTACTAGAGATACATGTTTAGGTACGATTTTCTGACGCTTCAACACTTACGTTACTTCACAAAAATGCCCACGTGTATCTTTATCAACCTCTCTTAAATTTATTTGAAAAAAAAAATTAGAGATAACGCAAAGTTCCCACATTGGATCTTAATATTTATTTTATCACTAGCTCCGTTCGTATTTCTCAAAACAATTTCAACTCCGTTAAAAATTTAGAACTAGCGTCTCGTAATTTCAGTCTTATCCGGTTTTGTGTCCCTCAGGGTTCAGTCCTTGGGCCTCTTAAATCCTAAGTCAAGAAAAAAGTTACATTTCAGTATTTGCGACACTTTTCCGCAAATACGTTTAAATCCAATATTGGGAAATTGCTTCTGCGCTTTCGAAGAGGTTAGATACTTAATTCCAGAAAAGCATTATTGACATCTAACATTTATCCATATAGTAGATTGTATATTCCTTGTACTGTATTCCTTATTGCATCATTTAAGAATTGTTCTATCGAAAGGCTAAAAATAGATAAACAAATGCTTACAACTGTGGGACTAACACAATATGTTACAAAGATATATCTATCGGGAAACAGCTAACAGAACCATCATAAGTTGAAACTTAACATATAAAAAAGGTCATAGCTAAAAAAAAAAATCAGTAAAAAGTCTGATGAATAATTATAGCACCAAAAATCACTATCGTGTAAGTTTTAACTTTATTGCTACTTTTTATCAATTTGTTTTTGTGAACGGTATGCCGGGCTCCATTTTTATTGTGTGTGTCGTGGGGTCGTAGTATCCGGCCAAGTAATATATGTCGTTATTATCGTATATTGTTGCGTAACGTTGAGGATCGTCCCCTAGGCGTTCGGTGTATTCCTTCAGTGGCAACACCTCGCATTTGTGGGAAATCGTCTGCACGTCGTTTTCGTCCACATGTGGCGACTCGAACAGGGCTCCCTAAAATAGTACAAAGGTTATTCTATACACAATCACCCGAATTTTGATAATACATTTACAGCAAACTGATAGTGTCGCTGCAACTAGTCTGTAACGAGTAAAATCAGTGTTCAACATTCTTATTTGAAAAAGCACTAATATGAGCAATTTTTTGTGCAAAGGTAAAATGGACTCGCTTGATAAATTTTAATTTTCAGCTGGACATGTCCATCGGACATGTCATGAAAAGTGGACATGTCCTGAGGACACTTTTCAAGATTGAAAAGTTGTATGCGCATGCGCGGAATTATTTGTTGCATTCATAATTCCCGCAAAAAATTTTTGAGGTTGGTTTCAGCTTCTTGTCATTTTGTTGGTAATTGTTTAACTGAAACTGACATATTAAATATATAACCTCTTTTATATGTCTACAATTCATTATTTTTGGCAAAGTTAATGATTAGTAAATAGTAATCAGTCGTTTCTTAATTTAATATTTAATACACAAATAGTTTATAAATGAAGTATGACGCCAAAATTAACAGTTGGTTATATTTTTCTGAATTGAGTAAAAATCATTATAAATGTAACTTCTGCTCAAAAACAATTTTTAAGAATTCCAGTAGGATGGAAAAACATTTAAATAAGTGTATTGGCTGTCCGGGGAAAATTAGAAACCAGTTTATAAAAAAGTCTAAGGGTAGGTATAAGTAAAATATGTCGACACATATTCATTAGAATAAAAGTAATATTTTGCTTTGTGTATCCTCAAGCAGTGACCTGTGAAAACATGACGTCACTCATAGGTGCCTTATTAGATTCAAGGTCAAAAGTACTTTTTCCCGACATGTCCGGACATTTCATCGACATGTCCAATGGACATGTCCGTAACACACTTTTTCGAAAAAGTGCCTATCTCTACTTAAGATACACTCGGCACAAATATTGAGGGAGCAGAAAAATGTTCAAATTTTGTTAGTGATTTTTGGAAGGATGTAACTTCATGAATAATCGAGAAAAAAAGGAAACATCTATTGAGTGAAAAGTCACCTTTTTTATCATCGATATCATGAAATAATGATCGTACAGCGAACGGAAGATGGGTTTTGGAAAATTGAATTAATCCTCTTCAATGATCTTTTGATATGTTTGAACATTTTTTTATACTCAGTATTAATTTGAAACACTGCAAAAATGACTTTTTCGGCTGTTTTGGAAAATCAACGACTACTTTACCAATATTGCAAAAAGTAGGATTTTTTTTAGCTCAATATATGCCGATGAGACCTGTAAACTTTGAATTCGATGGGTAGAACCGTTTTCCTTCCCTTAATCGTCAAAATTTAAAAAAAAAATTAAACATCAATTAATCAGTAATCATAATTAAGATGAAAACAATTTTTTTGCGTTATTTTTCTTACAATTTCACGTTAAATACTGAATACTGAATACTCAAATATTAAAAAAAATGCAAAATTTTTTTTAATTTTTTTGCGTTATTTTTTTCATAATTTCGCATTGAATACTTATCAAATATCGAAAAAAATGTTTATCAATAAAATTGAAGATTATTTTTTTTTATAAAAAAATTGGGTTTTGAAAAAAACTGTTTCTTTAAATTGAAAACTTTAGAAATAAGGACCAATAAATCGTATGGCCATGCGTGGTATAAAAATGCATGAAGATTCACTTATCAACTTAAAGTAATGCAATTAATTTTAACTCGATAAAATACGACATGCGAAGAAAAAAGTCATCAAAACTAAACAGAAAATGATTCAGTACAATTTTCTAAATATTTTTAAATTTCAATATTTTTTTAAATTTCTATATTTGGACATTTGAAACATTCAATGTGAAATTGTAAAAAAGGATAACGCAAAAAATTTTTTAAAAATAGATTTTTATTCAAAATTTACTCTTTCAAAATTTAGAATTTTTTTCGATATTTGATGAGCATTTAATGCGAAATTGTGAGGAAAATTACTTCTTCATCTTAAATTTTTTATAAAACTGACATTTAGGAAAACGGTTCGATTTTAAAATTTACAAGCTTCCTGGACATGTATTGAGCTAAAAAAAAACTAGAAACATTGGTACCTTTCGCCAATATTCACAAAATAGTCGTTGATTTTGCAAAAGAGCAGAAAAGTAATTTTTTGAAATTTTTCAAATTAATACCGAGTATAAAAAATCTCAAACATCCAAAAGGCCCTTGAATAGAATTAATTCAAGTTTCCAAAACTCACGTTTCGTTCGCTGTATGATCATTAATTATTGAGATATCAATGATAAAAAAAAAGATAACTTTTCACTCAACAGCCGATGTCTCAATGAGAAATAATCGTACAGAAAAAAAATAGGAGCTGAAAAATCATGCTAAATGACCCTGGCATTGATTTATCCAGAAAAGAAAAATTCTAAGCCCATAGACAATTTTCATAAAAACAAAATTGTAAAATTTTTTCCTTGTATTATTCCTTTTGATTGCACCGAGAGTGATACTCAAAAACATTTTCGCCTCAAAACTTCAAAACTACAAAGCTTCAAGATGCTTCTTTTTTTTTTCCTCGATACGACCATTACTCACGAAGTTACAGCCCTTCAAAAATCGCTAAAGAAATATTGAACATTTTTCTGCTCCCTAAATTTTTTTGCTGAGTTTATGTAAATTATCAAAATCCAACAAGTGAGTTTTAAAATAAGCGAGTTTAAATTGCGCTGCAAATCGCAAACATTCAGCGGTATAACGTCATAAGACCCTGCGTGCTGCTGGTTGCATAACTGATTATTGCTCCTCGGACATTCCTCTGTAGATGCAGCAACATAACCTAGTAGCTGCCTAAGTGTTGCGACCAATATGCTATGATAATAAATAGTAAATAACATGATAAGTAACGTACCGGATATTGAAGATTTTGCGGGCATCCGACTGTCTCTTCGGGATGGTAGAACCATTTCACTTTGACAACCATAGTGCCACAAAGTTCCCACATGGCTTCGATTCGCCCAATGTAGGGACGGTCTGGCCTTCCAGTGGATAAAAATACCGCCGAATCTCCCACCTTATTAAAAGAAAAAAGAAAATGTAGATAATAATCAAAGGACCCCGCACAAAATATATGGAAAATGGTCTTTCGGTAAATCTTGCTGAAATTTTGCAGAGAGGTAGGTTTCAGCTTGCTGAACAAAAGTCTCAATGACACCAAGATCAAAAAACCTCACCCAAGATCACTGTGCGGCTTGAAATATACGAAGAAAGGTATTTCGTTGAATCTTGCTAAACACAGGTCAACATTTGATCCGCATTGAAACACCCAAAGCGGGCTGGTCCTTATAGGGTTTTTGGGATCGCTGATTAAGATGAATAGGTCAGTTAAGCTCCATCACATCAGTTTCAAGGTCATTTGAAGATCAAGTAGAGAAATAACCGTCGAAAAAATCTGGAAAAATTCATACATATGTTTCCGAGGTCCCTAATCACGAAACCGTAGTTCATTTTACCCCGCAGCGACTCCCAAGGGTCATTTAAGGTCATGCTAAGGTCATTTTGAAGGTCAAGTAGAGCAACTGATCGTCGAAAAAATCTGGAAAAATTCACAAATATGTTTCCGAGGTCATATTGGATCCGCCATCTTGGATTTGGAAACTATGAAAATCTAACTTCATATTAACTAACTAACCCCCGAGTAAAAAATTCCGACAAAAGCATTGAGTAGAACCAACGAATTGTAACCACTAGAAGGAGCTTTGGATGTATTTGTTTGCGAATGTACATAAATAAATCAGATATTCAGGAGACACAAATTTCTATTGGTCCAATTAATATTCTCGCCTACGTCCGCATTTCGATGATTGTCGATGACATCTCTCAAAGGAAAAGTGTGTAGCCGCTATTAACGTATTTGAGTTTATTTGTGTTTAGTGTGGCATTTTCCTCTTATTGTTGTGTAGTTTTTATGTATGGACATTTATTTAGTGGTAAGATATGGTTAGAAAGTGTGTTACACAAGCATTTAGTACTTAATTAGCAGTGATAAAATACTGACTAAATCATTATCTAAATTATTAAAAAGATATATTTTTTAATTGTTCAACCTATTTTTTCCTGTTTCAGTAATATTATAAGTATGAATAATACCTATATTTTTTAGATTTCCTAAGAATCTGGAACGGAGAAACTTGTGGAAACTCTCCCTAGGTGATGTCAATATTACCGACAACATTTTTGTTTGTTCTGATCATTTTGAATGAATGATTTTCTGACAAAGCCATCAGGTATAAAGTACTTGCGAGAGACAGCTATTCCAATAATAGCTTCTACTTACAGCAGGTAAAATAACTTTTATATTGATTAAAATATACAAGTGAAAAGCCTTTACCTAGTACCTCTTTACCTTTTTATTTAATTTTTATAGATAAGACAGTTCTAATAAGGAAAATATTTCTCTAAATGATGTTCCTACGGAACAGTCATTGCACTTGCCGCAACAAAAACCAGAAAGTATATCCACATGTTCATCGTCGTCGACACTGAGTGCTCAATCAGGCTTGTTATCTACTACAAATAAGGCTACAGATCTTCCTGAAATATATTTGAAATTTGGTGACACATCACCAAAACATTGATCAACTTTAACTGCATCAGAAATAGGAATGGATTCACCCAATCGTAATAAAATTATAAACGTGAAGTAAGTTATAAAAATATAATTAACAAATTATATATCCTTTGTATAGTATCTACAACTAATACCCTATAATTTTGCTATCTGCTTACCTATCTAACATTTTTTTTATTCAGTACATTTTAAAAAATACCAAGAAAATTCTACCTTGTTACCTATTTATATATTACCATTTTATTTTATATAAACACTACCGTAAGTGTTTATATAAAATACATCTGGAATAGATAATTCATCATTTTTAGGAAAAGGCCTTATCCACGATATTTTGGAGAATGCCATACTTCTGACATGGATAGTCCAAAAAGAGCAAGAAAAAATTGGAGTATTTGTAAGAAAAAAATAAAAATGCAAACAATAAAGATCCGAAGTCTGCAGCAGGCAAAGAGTCGTCTAAAAGCCAGAATTTGTAGCCTTAATTCTCTTCTGAAATTTTTGAAAAAGAAATATGACTTAACAGAAACTGCTCAATGTATCATTCATGTAAGTTGAAAAATACTTATTCTTTCTGTGTCTGTAAACAATATGTATTTTTAGGAATCAGCACCTGGAATGTTAGGTGAAATCTGTCAAAGATCAAGAAAATGACAATCTCGTAAAAAGTATTCACCTGAGCTTAGGTCGTTTGCCTTAACGTTAAGCTTTTATTCAACAGATGCTTATAATTATGCAAGAAGAAGTTTTAACATGGCTTTGCCACATACAAAAACAATTTCTAAGTGGTACAGATCTATAGATGGAACACCTGGATTTACAAATGAAGCATTGGCTGCTATTAAAATGAAAGTAAGAGAAACAAACAGTGAAATTTTGGGCAATTTGGTATTTGACGAAACGTCTATAATGCAAAGTGTTGAGTGGAATGGGAAACGATTCACTGGATATGTTGATGTCGGCACTGAAGTATATGGGGATAATATTCCAGAAGCTACGGAAGCCCTTGTTTTTATGGTTGTAGCTATAAATAGTCATTGGAAAATACCTGTTGGGTACTTCTTGACAAACGGTTTAAGTGGTGGAGAAAAAGCTAATTTGTTAAAAAAATGTTTAGAATTTTTAAGTGAATTAGGTATCAAAATAGTTTCTGTTACTTTTGATGGTGCTCCTTCAAATATCAAATTACGGCTTTACCATAAATGTTAATGTTAATATTAATAAGTAGGTAGATTGTAAGTTTGTAGCATTTTAGGTTATTTGTTGACTTATTACTGTTTCAAATTGGTTTTCTAATAAAAACTAGAAAAATAAACCAAACATTTGTCTTTTTATGATTTCTATAAGTCACTAGTGGGTTTTATAAGTCATAACTTACTAGTGACTTATGACTTATAACTCACTAGTGACTTATAGGCCACATTATTCCTTTAAAACCAAAGAAATTATAGTATCATTATATACAAGTGTTGGATAAAAGCATTTAATTAATCAGTACTGATGTCAAAACAATTTGAGTATAGTAAAAACAGTTTATTAATTTTACTTCAATTTTTACCGTCTCATTATATCACCAATATGTAAAAATTATTTATAAAATGAGTAATCTTTTGCCTTTTTTGACAGTACGCCACTGCCGTTGTGTCTCATTGTTTACATTTGACACTATCTATCTTTATTTATTAGGTAGTTCTCTGTTTAGATGTTTGCTACAGTTAAAATACATGTATAAGGATACACAAAGCTCCTTCTAGTGGTTAGAATTCGTTGAGAAGAACGCATGACTGACCGTCAGCCATATTGAATCCGCCATCTTGGATTTGGAAACTGAAAATCTAACTTCATATTCGCGATCAGTGACCCTGAAAACACCCCAGTGTAAAAAAATTCAGACGAAAATATGCTGTAGAATCATGTATGACTCGAAGGGTTAACTGACCTACTCATCGTAATCAGCGACCCCAAACGCCCTATAAGGATCAGACCGCTTTGGGTGTTTCATTGTGGATCAAATCTGAAACCTACCTCTCTGCAAAATTTCAGCAAAATTTACCGAAAGACCATTTTCCATATATTTTGTGCGGGGTCCTTTACGTTGCTGAATTTGTGACATATGCAACTGGAGCTAGACAAAAATATGTGTAGGTTTACCAGTATGTCACAAATTTAGCTTGTATGTTGTTTGGAAAAAACATAGATGCATGCAATCTAGGGCATTCGAACAATTTAAGCTAGGAAGATTAGTAATGGTCATCAATTCTTATAACTTAATTTTCGACGGTTTAAAAATATAACTCAGGATTTTTTCCCAATTAAAGCACAACAAATCGCACACAGCTTTGTTCACTTTAATTTGTAAAAGATATTTAATGAGGGATAATTTACTGACAATAGTTGTAACCACATTTGAAATATTACATACGTTGATGTGGTGCATTCGTGATTTCCAAGAAATATTTTTTATTTTCTCGCTCCCAAAATCATTCCCAGCCAAAATAAACCTTAACCTCAACAGGTGTCTATAATTAGAAGGATTTTTTGCATCTTAGGGTTTCTTCTCGCTAAAGGTGCTTATTGATTTTGAGCAGAAACTGGTAATAAACAAATAACCTAACCAGCAATACACTTGAGTATTTAAAACATTTATCAGTGCCCACTTTATTTTTTAAATTAGCCTCGGGTTTGTTCAAATTCCAAACAAGCGCTTTTGCCAATGGAAACGTGAAAATAGAAAGTTTTTCGTGTGAATTACGAATAACAACATTCCTTTTTGTACACGAACTAGAGAAGTTTTTTTTAAATTTTTCAATAGCCACCGTTTTTACCAAACAAATGGTTTTACACGAATTGTACATTTTTTATTATTTAAATTTTGTATAATAAATTGATGTTGCTACAAAACCAGTGCAAAACTAAAAAAAAATATATCCACCTCCTAGCAACTCAAAACTATAAAAAATAAAACATACCCATATAGACCAGCGAGGTTCTGTTTTGAGGTGGATGTGAGAGGGGGCAAGCAAATTTTTTCTGGATTACCTTCAGTACAACTAACATAATAAAAGTGAAGATCTCTAGATCTGGGCGAGGTCCGGAATATTTTCAAAATTGCAAAAATTTAAAAATACCTATTTTATCGGAGTTTTTTACTTATATCTTGGAATCTATGCATTTTGGAATAATGTTGAAGAGGAAAAAAGTTTTAGAAATGAATTTTGCACAATATACTGGAAGTTAAAAATGTTTTGAATTTATTACCGATGTTACAAATTAGCAATAATTGATGAAAAAAAGGCAAAATAATCAAGTTTTTTTGGACAATTTTTTAAAAATATTTTAATTGCCCCGAGGGCATTCTAATTTCGGTAAAAAAAACTTTAGAGTATAATAAAACAACACAACAAATTTTATTGAAAACGGTTAGATAGTTATCGCAAAATAATTTTTTGAAAAAAATTTAGAAAAATTTTTTTCGAATATTCAAAATGTTGCACAGACTCAAATAAAGCATCTAGGTACTTGAAAATGTTTTCACATAGAAAATACCGCTCAACCTTTCAAATGGATTTTGAAAAACTGAAATCGGTTGATTAGAACGGCCACAGTAAATTTTTAAAGTTAACACTGTTTTTATTTATTTTTAAACAATCAGATTACATTTATCAATTTGCAATTTAGTTTTTTCAAAAATTATAATTTTAAAGTGCAATTTTTTGTTAATTTGATCTGTATTTAACAAAAAAAATAATTTCCAAATAAAAAACATTTTTTTTAATTTAAATAATTGTGATAATTATAACTAAATATGTTCATTTAGGGTGGCCCAAAAAAAACTAATATGTTTTTCGTGTCTTGTGAAAATATGTTAGTTTGTTTTAAGAGCCCCTCAAAAAAAATTTTTTTAGAGGTCGCTCAAGATTTTTAAAAATGTCCAAAATCGTCAAAAATTGAATTTTTTTTAAAATTTTTTCTCGTTATTTTATCATTTTCTAGGTTTTTCTAAATTCAAATCGATATTTTAATTTCTAAATATTATTATTCTGTTATTCTAATTAATTATAATAATTATTTTAACTTTCAAAATTAAAATATAAATATTTGATACTCACAGTGTGGTAGTAAATTTTACCTCGAGAAATTTTTTAAGTGTTTCGGGATTTATTTCGATTCTTTTGTTCATCAAATTTAATAAAAAAATATATTAGTTCGTTGATATTTATTTTTAGAGGTCGCTGGAAATCATTTTAAGTACACTACTTTTAAAGTTAAAATAATTATGACTGACCTTTAGAAATTAAAATATCGATTTGAAATTTTCAGAATCCAGATTTTTTTCAACATAGAAAATGATTAAATAACGAGAAAAAAATTTTAAAAAAAATCAATTTTTCACGTTTTTGGAAATTTTTAAAAATCTTGAGCGACCTCTAAAAAAATTTTTTTTGAGCTGATTTTATGAGAAGTCTCTTAAAACATGATAAACCAACATACTTTCACAAGAGACACAAAAAAATAATATTCGTTTTTTTGGGCCACCAAATTGTTCATATTCAGTGTTGAAATATACAGGGTGGTCCGAATTTTATGCAGGAAACTTCGAGGATAGATAGATCTCTTTAAAATAATATGTGTTTGCCTTATAAATATAGGTCTGGAACGGCCCCGTTTTAGAGATACAGGTTGTTGAGGTTTTAAAAAAAATTGATTTTTTGTTTATATCGCACACTACCTCACAGGTGGTGTAGAAAGGAGTGTAAATAATTTTGTTGATGTGTTTACAAATTGCACTTACTTTTACACATAAACAAATATTCTTGTAATATTATCGATATAAATCAGTTACAATGACATGTAAAAAATGCAGTGGCGTATTTTTTTTTGTAAAAAAGATGGTGACCCCTGTCCAGCTGTACACCACTGGTTTAACCTTTAAAGCTCATATTTCAGGGAATATAAGGCCTACTGTCATGCATTATCTGTACCAAATTTTATTGAAATCGGTTAATAGATTCCGGAGATATAAATAAAAAATCAATTTTTTTTGACAACTTCAACACCCTGTATCTCTAAAACGGTGCCGTTCCAGACCTATGTTTATAAGGCAAACACATATTATTTTAAAGAGATCTATCTGCCCTCGAAGTTTTCTGCATAAAATTCGGACCACCCTGTAAACGTAAACAAATTTTTTCATTGAACAAATGCAGCATAGAGTACAATATACAGTATATTTAATGCATAAATAATAAACTTTGTTTATAACAAAATATGTGCAAATTAGACAGTTGGCACTACGATATTCGAATTCCTTGGCTTGCGAGACATCGGATTAAAAAACAAAATTGGTCCATTAGAAGCCGAGACAACGCAATTTTTTCGTACCTTCGCATTTTGAACCTCGAACCGAATTCGCCACTCTCGCACTTTTCGTGTTTTGAGTCACTTTTCGCGCGTGCCAGCGACTGCTTTTCCGATGATTTATCTATGTTGCCGATAACTTATGGATATTTTTTCCAGATTAGAACTCGGAAAGACGAAGCCGCTAGATCAAAGATCATTGCTAAATTGTTTATAAATTAACGGTAAATATTGGATAAACGTAAAATTCCCCATAACTCAACAGTAAATGCCAATAAATTTTGACCGCTTATATCTCGATAAAAACGGAATTTAACTTTTTTTAAAAAAAGAAGCGTTTTTCCTAGTATTTTAAAATTATAATTTTTGAAAAAAAATAAATTGCAAATTGATAAATGTAATCTAATTGTTTAATAATAAAAAAAAGAGTGTTAACTTAAAATTTACTGTGGCCGTTCTAATCAACCAGATTGTACAAAATTCAATTCTAAAACTTTTTTCTCTTCAATATTCTTCCAAAATGTATAGGTTCCAAGATATAAGTAACAAACTCAGATAAAATAGGTATTTTTTTAAATTCTTTAAACATTTTTGCAATTTTGAAAATGTTCCGGACCTCGCCAAGATCTAGAGATCTACACTTTTATTATGTGAGTTATACTGAAGGTATTCCAGCAAATATTAGCTTGCTCCCTCTTACATCCAAGAAGTTATTTCGACAGATCAGCCCTGGTCTAATAGCTGTTTTACATTGACAATTTATTCATGAATAAATTGACGAGTTATTCAATTCACGAATTTATTGGTAAACAGTGTGGTTTTACACTGCTTCAGACTTTGTCAAGTTTTTTGACGTATGAATCAGTTCTACCAACGAATCAAAGAAGCAAATAAATTTCAAAAATGTCACCTTTCCACTCATATTTGTAGTGATACAACAGCGGTACCGTTCAGACACATATTATATAAATATTAGTTTTTGTAAGTAACAAATCAGTAGAAACAATGCAAAACTAGTACGACGTCACGCAATTATTTACATATTCACATAACATAACCTCATTACTGATCTGAGGCTGGAAATCTGTTGGGTTGGTACTTCCGAATTTCACGAAGAAATTGACGAAAATTATAACATGCTCTAATTCGTCAAGAACTTAATGAATAAATTCATGAAGTTATTTGACAGCAGATTTGGTGCATTACACTTGTCCAATTTCTTGATGAAGTGACTTCATGAATTAATTGATCAATAAATTGTCAATGTAAAACAGCTATAATATGCTAACTAAAAATATGTTTCCCATAATAATCTTACACTCCATTAATTTAAATCATGCCCGACATTTAAATTTAAGTTTGTAACACACACTCAAAGCTTGAGGCTAATAATACCAAGCAAACACCGAACTACGTTTGCAAAAAGTAAAATTCAAATTCAAAATTCATCAAAACAAAAAATACATGTTTGTAACATGCACCAAAATGTTTTTTTCATTTTTACTGGACATTTTTTAAGTTATGCCGATATTTGGAATTGTTTTAAATTACTTTCAATTTGCTTTATTCCTAATACCAAGGCAGCATACAATACATAATCTCAAACCCAAAATTATTACAACATGCATCTGAAACAAGCTTATGAAAATATAAATATGATTATAACGTAATTTGTATAGCATTTACAAAGATTTTACTGAATTTTCCTTCAAACGCGTGATACAACAGGGAACATGATTTATTTCAATTCCAAAATGCAAATATTTTAGTTTGATATCATCAGACGAGATTGAATTTAACATTGCGATAAACATAATCCCTATTTTTGACTGATTTACACCAATGCGAAAGTTCTATGTAAAAATGATTTTAGCTATGCTCAAAAACAATAGCTTACCTTGATACCGTTTATGAGAAAGATATGTATGTTAATAATTAGTAGAAAAATGGAAAATAATAATATCATGAGATGGTTAAGGAAGAATACCCTCGGCATGTGGCAGCTATAAAATGAAATTTTTTGCTTAAGAGTTCAGTTTTATACCTGATGAGATCATTACTGGTTACAGTTCGTTAATACCGCATTCGCGATACTACAGATTAGCAGGTTGCTCTTTGCCAGTAGGTGCAAACAATGCTTTGTGCCAATATGCACTGAGTAACAATGCCATACTGTGTAGGTTATATGTCACGCACGCTACTAAACTGTGAAAGTAACTGCTCCACATTTAACATTTCTTTAGTAAGGAATAAAATTGTTCCTTAAGCAACCAATTTCATTGTAATACCGCCCTTAGTCGAAAATACAATTCTTTACGTGTCGGACGTGATACATACAGTGATCGTCTCCTTTCCCCGCTGGATGGATTTGTAAAAGGATTTCTTCGACCTACCCTTGGCCCGTTGGCGTTTATATCCCTTTCCTGCCCATCCCCAAAGCTGTCGGGCGGGGAGAAACGCGCTCATCTTACTCCTACTCTCGCAGGATTCCTGCCTGTCTCGTATCTTCTTCGATTTCTGCAAAAGGAAAGTTGCAGTAGAAGTTTCTTTGCCTTGGATGTTTTGTTAAATGTGCTACTAATTTAAAAGATAAGAAGATCTGGCAAAGTTATTGCAAAATACAACTTCAGTAAACTTTCTTAGATTTCAGTAGGAAAAGTCCAATGCGCAACTGTAGGCGGGTATAACTCACCCACAAACTTATTCCTGTTGACCTGTAGCTATTTTCCGATAGGTTGCAATGAAAGTAAAAAGAAGTTCGTTTGCAACTTAGAAAAAATATACTTACTTTCGATTTCGTGGCTTTGATGATATCGTCCATAGTAACTTCATCTTCTGGATTAGCAACAATCTCGTAATCTTCTATAACCTCCTCAACTTCTTCATTCTGTTCCGAAGAAAGCTCCTCCACTACGTCTTCAACTTCCTCCACTTCCTCAACTTCGTTCTGTTCCACAGGTTCGTTCCTCACCTTATCGTGATGTTTCTTATGCTTCCTATGCTTCTTGTGGTGCTTCTTGTGTTTGCAATTTTCATCGTTACACTTGTGTTTCTTCTTCTTTTTCTTATCCTCGTGCATCAACTTTTGCCGGAGCTTCTCGCGCTTCTTTTTCTTCAGCCGTTTTTTCTCCTTGTGCTGTTCGCGACTGGGTTTATTTACGTCCTTGTTCTCTTTCTCTACTTCGAGATCTTTTGGCGGTTTTTGAGATTCGACTTGTGGTAAGGCGACATTTATTTGAGTTTTAGTTTTGTCTTCAGTTGAGACGCTTGTGGAGGTTCTTCTTCGCCTCTTGCATAGGCTTAGAAGAGGATTTGGATCGTATTCTGAAAAAAGTTACACTTCAGATAAATCAACGAAATTTTTTCGAGTTCTTACCGATAATGGGGTAATCCGGAGGCAGTAACCTTATGTCTTCCAAAGCGATCCTTCCGCTGTCGCCGTCATCGAATTCTACCGATACGAACTTTCCATCCAACTGAGGATCTGGAGTTCCGGGTTCTGCAACGCTTCCGGGGTAGAGGCAGCGGTACTGCTGACTCCAATAGGCGCATAATCTAGTACCGACTGGTAAGTCGTCGGTATTTTTTGGAGCTACTTCGACTATCTGTAACAGAATAAATTTATTCACATTGCAGAACAGATGCACCACAAATTTCTAAAGTGAATACAGGTATTTATATAATTTTTTTACAATATATATCTTAAAAAATTTGACAACTGTAAGCAACGAATGATATTTTAAAACGTTATAATTTGTCCTTTGGTATATATATTTTATCCTAGCTTTATTATTGTTTATTGTATTTCCCCCGCTAATGATCAGTTCCGCAAAGTGACGTCACATGAACTAGTCTTGCTGCAGGTACCGTTTGCTAATGGTTAGTACGTGTTTCTGTGGCTTTAGAACTATGAGTATAATTTTTTATGCTAATTAAAAAACAGTCAACAAATACATTTATACATATGTGCAAAAATATAATTTTTGCATTCTAATTGTTTCATTAAATGAACTATATTTATCTATTTAGTCAACGCTATTTTAACGCAAGTTAGACGAATATCTGATAGTTTTTGATTCATTTTCAATTTTTTTGTAAAAACTGCTTACTGTCTTCTCTTTGCATAAAATCCCAGATGTCTTCTGTGTGATTCAGGTCAGGGCTTCTGGTTACGCCTTGTAGAAATATTAACGTCGGTAATTATGGTGCATGAAAATTAAACTATCTCCTAGAAAAAGCGCTAAAGGCATTTCACGAGGTTCCAAAATGTTTACAATGTAAGAATCTACTGAGTACAATTGCTATGTAAACAAAATCTAGGTTCGTCACTGAACATAACATTAGCCAAATAAACGACTTACGTTCTTGAATAAATGTTAATCTAGCTCTGTGATGCTCTGCCGATAATTATTTGACTGTTACTTGCTATTTTAAATCTTACAGTTATTTATTCATAAAAATGTACAATATTTTGAGACAATAAAATCTCGCACAGTTATAAAATTTGCATCTCCTTTAATAATAGAGTTATGAAGGTAAATCAAAAAAAGGGCATTTTAAGAATAGATCAGTCTACATTGTGATTATTGTTTGGATTTGATGATGACGTTGGTGTACTTCACAGAATATTATCAATATCCTATAGAAAATGTTTTTTTTTAATAACGCCCTGTATTTAATCAAAATTGAATCGAGGTTGAAAATCACTACATCAATATTCCTCATAAATCACTCCACAATCTGAAAGAAAATGATATTACTTGGATAATTGGGTGAGGAACTACTGAATATCAATTTTTTCGGTTAAGACACAAACACAGTTATAGTTTGACATGTTCTGATTAAAAGTTGTCAGGAACCCAAGCCAAAAATGAATACCAGATAAGCGACAATGAAAATAAGCCAGTCTCATCGCGCTTATACATAGTCCTTTTACGGAAAGCCGTTTGGCTCTTCTCTTATGTATGCTTCCATTGTCTTTTTTACGCTTGTTTACTTTGCTCCCGCTTTTTTAGTTTACACCTGCTCTTTTAGTTTAAGCTCATTTGTTTTACTTTTTACTCGCGTTTTTTTTTGACCTCCTATTTTTTACATTGCGTCTGTCATTTTTAGTCCTGCTTCTTTTATTACACACTCGCTTATACATTACGCTTACTTTTTTACTTTACGCCCGCTTTTGCTTCATCTTTTTTCTGTAGACGGGCATTTTTCTCTGCGTCTATTTTTTTACTTACTGCCTACTTGTTTTTACTACACGCCTGCTTACTTTTACTGTATGCCAATTTTTTACTTTACGCCCGCTTCTTTACGTTCCACCCGCTTGTTTATTCTTTACGCCCGCTTTTTTCTTTGTGCCTGCATTTTTTAATATTATATATGCCATTTTTGTTCCGCTTCTTTTATTAGACACCTGCTTGTTTTTATATTACGCACGTTTTTTTTTTTTACTTTAGGCCCGCTTCTTTACATTACACTCGCTTTTTTTACTTTAGGCCCGCCCATTTTTTTCTATAGTACTGCATCTTTCTCTGCGCCTAATTGTCTTACTTATCGCCTGCTTGTTTTTACTACACGCCTACTTACTTTTACTATATACCAATTTTTTTACTTTACGCCCGCTTCTTTACTTTCCACCCGCGTGTTTATTCCTTACGCCCGCTTTTTTTCTATACGCCCACATTTTTCTCTGCGTCTATTTTTCTTACATACCGCCTGCTTCTTTTTACTACACGCCTGCTTACTTTTACTATAAGCTAATTTTTTACTTTACGCCCGCTTCTTTACTTTTCACCCGCTTGTTTATTGTTTACGTCCGCTTTTTTCTTTGTACCTGCATTTTTTAACATTACAAATGCCATTTTTAATGCCATTTTTGTCTCGCTTGTTTTATTAAACACCTGCTTGTTTTTATATTACCCACGTTTTTTACTTAACGCCCGCTTCTTTACTTTCCACCCGCTTGTTTATTCTTTACACCCGCTTTTTTCTATACGTCCGCATTTTTCTCTTCGTCTATTTTTCTTACATACCGCCTGCTTGTTTTTACCACACGCCTGCTTGCATTTACTACATACCATTTTTTTTACTTTACACCCGCTTCTTTACTTTCCACCCGCTTATTTATTCTTTACGCCCGCTTTTTTTCTATACGCCCGCAATTTTCTCTGTGTCTATTTTTCTTACATACCGCCAGCTTGTTTTTACTACACGCCTGCTTACTTTTACTATAAGCTAATTTTTTACTTTACGCCCGCTTCTTTACTTTTCATCCCTTGTTTATTCTTTACGCCCGCTTTTTTTCTTTGTGCCTGCATTTTTTAACATTACAAATGCCATATTTGTCTCGCTTCTTTTATTAAACACCCGCTTGTTTTTACTTTACGCCCTTTTTTTACTTTCTATGCGCTTGGTTATTCTTTACGTCCGTTTTCTTCTTTGCGCTTGCCTTTTTCTTTAATTGTACCTGAACTTTTTTACTTTACGTCTGTTTTTCTTATTTTACGCCCGCTTTTTTTTTCTTTACGCCTGTTTTTTATTTCTTCAAACATCTTCTCTTTGTAAAGTTTGCGTAGTCTTTTCAGTTGGTGCGTTAGTTTCTTTCGCCAGCGTATTTAACTTCTAGTGACGCCAGTGGCCTCGCACGCAAACGTCGAGCTCCACCGATTACGAATCGAACCTGACACGGTTACGGCGCAACTCCCGTAGAGTAAATTCCAAAACCGGTCACCCGAGCCTTATTCTTACCCGTCCGGCCTTGCCTGTCGGGTGGCTCTTATCCGTTCGGCGCATCTCATCTCGCCTTAGTCCTTTCACGTTTTTTTACGCTCCTCTCCAATATGACAAGCAGTTTATAACTTTTATGGGCCCCGGAATCGCTGGACGGTGAAAGACTCCATAATGGGACGTGCCAGGTGGAAGATGAGTATTATTGTTGCCGGACGGATGGGGTTCATTGTTGGGTAATAATTTTATGGTTTATTGGAGATGCGTCAGGACAGACGTATATCAAATCGGATTGTTCCGTTTCTTATAAAAACAAGTCGGAATGAAGTACGCACTGGACGGTGTACCTACTCTTTCGTCGAATATCAGGATTCGGCGAATTTTTGTCGACAACGCTAGTGTCCGAAATATGTTTACATTACATCTAAGAGGAGGTCGGAAATATTAGGGCGGCTGGATTGTGGTACATGCTGCACTCTTTACATTATAGGAATATATACCGGGTGCTTCACGAGGAATAGTCAATCCTTCATTTTGAATAAGGTAAAATGCATATGTGCTCAAATCCCAAAAGTTACTGATTGTGAGATACAGCAATTATAATGTCGATTGCATCTAGTTCAAAACAGATAAATTATCGAGGAGACATACTAAATAATTGGCATTTAGCATTGATTTGTTGATTATGTATGTGTGAAATTTATTTGAAGTGTCACACATTTTTTCTCACGCTGAATACGCTGATACGGTGTTTTGTTATGGGTTTTGCAATGGAAGAGCACCTGCTGCTCGTAGAGACGAAATCCTAACCGAGTGTTACCAGATTCAAGAGCATTTATTCGAACATTCTACACACTACGAAATACGGGCTTTGTTCCAAGTAGTCGTTTTCATTCTGATCGTGCAGTTGAAGAAATGTGAATAAAGTAGGAAATATTCTTCAATTTTTAGAACGCAGTCCATCTACAAGCACAAGAAGCATTTCCACACTGTTCGAAGTTCCCTCATGTAAGAGTATGGCGAACATTGCGCCAACAAGACTTGTATCCATTTCATCTCCAACGAGTGCAACACCTTGCGAAGAAATCATGCCAACAGATTGGATTTTTGTGAGTGACTTGGAACTTGTTCCAATGATACTTTTTACCGATTAATCGACTTTTAATAGTAATGTCAATAACACTCGCAATAATCGCCGTTGGTCTGACGACAACCCACATGCCAGTGTAGAATCAAATTTCCAGCAAAAATTCTCCGTAAATATCTGGCCCGGAATAATAGACAATAAATTGATTGGGCCGTTTATATTATAGTCTTTCCGAAGTTAGTTGAACATGCAAAAATCGCCTGGCAATAAAATTTAATGACTTTCATAGGCGTCCCTAAAAAAGTTTTCTGCTAAAGGTAAAAAATTATCATAAGTTGTATATAATGTGTAGAATATTTCTATTATATGTTCATTTGGTCAACAACATATTTTAAATATTTATGTCCTCAAATAATTTTATTATATTGATGGTAAATTTCGTTTTGATCCGTTTCCAAAATGCCATATTGTAATCATATTATTTCTCCCTTTCGCAATTGTAATATCAATGATTAATAGAAGGTGCCTATAAAATAATTAAAATTACCTGAATCACACCAAATTCCGCATTGCTGCGCTGCACTGCTGGGCAATTTGTCAACACTGCCCAGTAGTCCAATGCAGCTGTGTTAGATTTCGTTTACACGCGCTCGCTTTCTTCAACTGGGCGTATACATTTCTACCACCTCCACGTTTATTTCGACAAGACCTGTATGTGGATGGGTATGGTTAAATAAATATGGGAAAAAGTTTTTCAAGTTTTTCAATGTCGAGTTGCTGCGTCAGCGACCGAACCTGGTGCACACTGTCAACGTCTTTGTTCTTCAATTGAGATCGGAAAGACTATACCCAAACGTCTAACGGCGACAAGTTATTTAAAGTTCTTGTGGAATGAACTTCCAATATTGTTAGAGGATTCCCTTGGCCACAAGGGCCAGTATGATTTTCCAACATGATGGCGCGCCCGCTCATTAGCCGTGAGGTGACGCAATACCAAGGTACAATCCTACGTTTTTTGGTATGTTGATTACAAATATAACCTCCGTTTTGCTGCAAATGGAGGCGTTTCAGAAGTAGAGAGGAAAACCAATATCTTAGAAACCGATGAATTTTAGAGGATATGGCTATTGACTGTTTTCTTTACTAGACCAAGTACTACAACTTCCAACGTCCAATTAGACTTTGGCACCCTTCTTTGCTGATATTTTGTTCACAAATGCAATGCTTTATTTTTTTTTATCTAAACGACCTTAATTTTCATCTATATTATATTAGAATCCCTTCATACAAACATGTTTTTTAGATTTTAGGGAAGTACTGTTAAATACGTTTGAATAAAACTATTCTTTGTTGTTACTTGTTCAAAATTACATAATTTTATTGCGAAATCCAGAGCTCTTGGAAGAAACTTTTGGTTTTGTAACGGCTGCCGCTTCGGTAACCTAAAACACAGTTACGGGAACAAAGTGCAGCCTTACCGCCCACAAAGTGCAGCCTTACCGCCCACAAAGTGCATTCTCTCGCCATAACCGTAATTAGAGTTAATTAGACTCCGTACAATGAGACTATTCAGGCATGTGGTTCGTTACATCGGCACGCTTTTGTCACGGTATCTGTAAAAGCGCGGCTAGTTCGGTCTAGATGAATGTGTTACGTCATTTACCAATATAAAAAATAAATTTCTGTACGTTAGGGGGCAAATGATCATAATGTGCCAAACAATTAGAAATCCAGTTGTTTTACTTTGAAAAAAGTGTTATTTACACTGCACCATTACCATGCCGTCGGAAGAGCGTTCCGTTTGAAAATATCACGTTTGTTACTTGACCAGATGGAGAATATTATAATTTGGGTAAGTAATGTAATGTTTTTAAATCAATTAGCTCAATTTCCCTTGAAACATTTTTTTTTATAAAAACCTACTTGTATTAACTACCTAAGTTTAATGTATAGAAAACTAAACTCTATCGTGTTTAACTTGACCTGCTTCTATTTTTTTTATTCGTTTCAGAGTGATCACACTTACGTGACTTTTCCACAAAATAATTCTGACAAATGTAACACTTGTAACTGTAAGAAAGTTCCAACTTTTTCTAAAATGTTATTTAGAATGAAAACATTTTATAGAAAATTCTTCCACTGAACCGAATCTGTCTCTAAACTCGCTAGTGATTCCTTTTTCTACACTGTTTGAGCTTTCCTTTGTTGTACATAATATGACTTGTTTATTTAGGATCATATTTTTATATAGACTTATAAAACTAAACATTTTATAAGTCTATTTTTCTTACATACCTTGCCAACAACTAGTTCCACATAAATCTTCACAAGGAGTTATTCCAAATTACTCTTTTCAAATGCAAATGCAATTATTTACTCAAATAATCTACTGATGTACTAATTTTGTTTGAAAAAAAACAAGAACAATATCCTTTTTATACAAAGTAAATAGCTTTTTATATTTTTAAAAAATAAATTTTAAATTCGACCACAATTTAACAAGTATTTTTGGAATTTAAAAAAATTAATATCCCATATTCCCTATGACTAGGAATATTCACTATTACTGTTTTTTTTTTGTATTTCTAAGCCGACTACAATTTTTGGAGCTGTCCTTGAAAATGTTTTAACATTACCTTGTTTTTTTAAGAATTACTGAAATTTATTTCAAAATCAAGAAGAAAATCAAGATAAAAAGATTCTAAAGGAATTCTTACCGCATCTCGAAGAATTTCCTCCCTGGACATAATGTGAGGCCTGTTCCCTCTTTCTCCATCCAATATAATGGAATAAACATCAGGGGGTTCCAACGCATTCAACTGCCCAGCATAAAACAACCCTCCCATGGCTGTCAACACCCTCAACTTATCAACTTCCAACAATTCCGCAGTCAGGGTGCAACGAGTGTCTTCAGGTTTAACTTCTTCAACTATTTCTTCCTCGGCAACGCTTTCCTCCTCCTCCTCCTCTTCCTGATGTGTCGTTTCGGGGACAGTCTCTTCAACCCTTTCTTCTTCCTCGACCTCCGATTCCTCATCAGCCAGTTCCTCAACGTGTTCCTGTTCCTCGTCTTCACCTTCCTCCTCTTCGGCAATTGTTTCCCACTCGTTACGGTCGTCATCCGCGTAAGTTTTAATAGTAGCTTCGGCCCTGAGTTTCGGCCTTATCTTAGAAGATTTTACGTCAGTCGCTATAATGTGATTGTTGTTTTTGTTTTTCTTCGGTTTGATGGTGATGGTTTCTTCGACATATCTCGGTGGAGTGGCGTCGGGGTAAGTTTTATTCTGCATTTTGAATTTCTCCTTGGCAGCTAAGAGATAACCCACGAAACTGCTTTTCGGTTTCTTGGCGACTATCGTTTCGGTGGCCACGTGTTCCCCTGAAGATGACATTAGTTTTTTAGGCCTGCCCACTTTTCGTTTTTTAGAGGAGGAATACTTTTCGGGGGAAGAATCCACGTCGGACTGATTTGTTTTATAAATTTCGTCTAATTTAGGCATCGCGCACAGCGTTGGCGGTTTTAACAGTTCAGACTTGTCTCTGTTAGGCTTTACCGGCACGTCCATTTTGTCTAGTAAGGGTGGTGGTGTGGAACTCCTATCGGAGTGAGAGGAATGCGTCGACTTCTTCCTTGAACGCTTCTTCGAGCAGTCCGTCGAATGCCTTTTTGGTTTCAGCTTGCTCAACTCCTTTTGTTTCTCCCGGTATTGACGTTGAAGTTCGGCCAACTTCATCCTCATGTCCAGTTCCATCGCGTTCATGCAGGGCCAGTCACCTTTGCAGCAGATAGGCTGCGATTTGCTAGCTATGAATTTCTTCACCTCCTCTTCGGATTCTGGCGTCTTGTAGGTTCTGTAGTTCTCTTCGTGGCATGCGCATCGCGTCTTTTCTTTGTCTGTATTGTTCTTTTCATATGACTTTTCTTTCCTTTTGTGTTCTCGATCTTCGTGATGTTTGTCGCTTTTCAATTTCTTCCTTTTCGGCTCATCAGAGGAATGCTTTTTGGATTTCCTTTTTTCCTTCTTGCGTTCTTTGGATTTTTCTTTTTCTACTTTGGGTTTTTCGTTTTCTTCTAATATCCTTTGCTCTGCCAAGGCGCAGAGTAGACCTAGACCCCCTAGACTGTCGTCTACGGGAGGTTGTGGAATGACAGGTTCCTTCCTGACTTCAGTTTCATTTGAAATTGGTAGTGGCGTGCTACTACGTATTTTCGGGCTTTCACACGTCCTAGATACTTGTAATTCTTCATCGGTTTTATTCCTGCAGTTTTCGAACTCGACTATACTATTGGAGAGGAGTTCTAAGCCACTCAAATCCGGTTTTTGTGGAGACATGGTTTCTTCGACTCCTCTGACTACTTCCTGCTCTGGTTCTTCCTCTTCCATTGGAATACTGGGTTGCACTGCCTCTTCTATTTCATCTAGTTTTGGTGGTTCTTGAATCACCTCCATCATTTCAGGTACTAGAGTTTTTGTAACACTGTAGTCATGAGGCATTTCCATAATAGGCTTTTCTAAAACATGTTCGAGCCTACTCTTCGTCTCCCCTACAACGTCGGACATAGTATGGGTGGTATTGTCGTCTTCACTGCAGAACGGGGTGTCTGTCTGATTACTGGCGTCCTGTACAGTGGACGCCTCTTCTTCATGCGTTTGTGTTTCTGGAGGTGGTGTAAGACAAGCTACCGGCGACGTTGCTTGTGACCTACAAGACGCCTCTCCGTTTGGTGTTTGGGACAAGATCAAATTGGTAGGATGCTGGTAGATAACATGCGTGGTCACCAAAGGAGCCATATTTTGGTCCGTGAAAACCGTTCCGGTATTGCTTGCGATGGTACTAACGGCCTGCAAGGTTTTTGTTTGGTCCAGTGTAGCATCAGTTTCGATTTTTATCAGAGTAGTGGCCGGTATAGGCATGGGAATCTTCCTCTTGGTGTCCGTCGTTACCGCCACCAACCTGGTGCTGTGCGTTTGGGTGTGTTGATGAAGAGTGGTGCTGCTGGAGAGGTAGTCTGATGACGCAGAACTGAGTAGCTGGAGGGGCGGAGGAGGCATTGGCGGTAAAGATGGCAACAGGACAGAAGAGGGTTGGGAGTAACTTGGCCATACTACGGCTTGCTGCAGAGGTTCTGAAATGAAAAAGTAGGCGTTGCGAGGATTTTTTGCGGAATCCGTATACTAAGCCAGTGTCTCTTGAAAAATACCAATAGATTTTTTAGAGAGACAACTTTAATTTCATTTTATACACTGCTGATCATTTCTGGATTGCAATAAGAGTATTTAAGATAAGATGATAGCTATTTTACGATTGCTAGATGAAGAAATAAACCAGCTGTCTTTGTTTATCATTAAGAATTTGCATTATCTATTTCTTTCATTTCTAGCGTGATCTGGTATTGGAACGTGACCAGCGCTCTGTATGAAATGAAGAAAAGTCTGGATTCGTACCATCTAAAGTATTATTGGTTTCTTTCAAGAGATTTCCCTAGTACTACCTACTTGTGACAATGCAGTGGTGATTATAGTGTACAAAAATTGATCTAGAACTGAGGTGACCTAAACATAAAGATCGAACATGATTTGGGTGCGATGAGGTGCAATTTGAGCGTATATGGCGTGACATATGGTAAAGTATAGCTTTGTAAGGGGTTAAATAAAATAACAAATGAACTGACCTATTCCGGCAGTGGGTAAAAGAAGGAGACCCCCAGTGGTAGGATCGCGAACTAGTTGGAACCCCACAGGAGGCATTGGTACCGGCAGTGGAACCATTGGCTCCACTGGAACAGGCGCTATAACAGAAATTAAAAATTAATAGGTGAGAAAACAAAAAACAGGGATTATAATAGGAGGTAAGATAATATCGTGTCGTGTCTATAATATCTGTGATGCAAAATGGTCGACCTAGGATGGTTATTAACTAAAGTAGGTTTTTATTGAGCAATGTCCTATATGGTTTATCATGAGACGAAGCTTTGTGCTGAGCTGCTTCATATTTTTTTGTTTTTGTTAATGAGAAGATAAAGGAAAATGAACTGAGGTAATTTATATCAAAACTGAATTGGACGAATCAAGGTACAAAGTCCGTTTTTAATATCTTGACTCTTCTCTACTTGTTTAGACTAGTTTGTATGCCTTGACATGATATCAGCTAAGGAATGTCACTTATTGCTTTAACGTAATCCAAATCCTCACATAACTTCCTCTGTATCATGCCAACGTACAAAGTACACGAAACGTAACAAGTCTAATTATGTAACAATTAACAGAGAAACCAGTTTTGCATAAAACCGCCCCGCTCTTCCGAGAAACTCTTATTAATTACATATCAGGAACCATAAGCGCTGCGGTCTGGCGCTATTTACCTAAGTGGAAGAAAAAGTCCCACACCATCTTCCCGTCAAAAAAAGACGCGCACACACGATAACCCACTTGACCGACTCCCGCGTTACGCCAGCAGCAACAGGTCACGCTTATAAAAAAAACGGCATTACTCAACAAAAACCGGTCCGAAAAAATGACACAAAAAACTGGTCGGCGTTGAATGCACTCACTTACCAGGATACTGCCACAGCGTGGGTGTGGCCAGGGCCTGACTGTGGCCCCCGCCCATCTGCCACGCGGCCAATCCCGCGCCTCGGTCGTCCGTGCACTGCAGCAGTGTCCCCCCCTGCTGGCCGCCCATCGCCGAGCTTGCAGCCATACTACCGGTAGCCCCCGATGGATCTGGAAGGAAAAGTTTCCTATCAACAATGCAAGCCTCACTCGTTCACCGTTCGGGTATGATGTGGTATGCCGTTTCGAGGTGGTGCCTAGTATTATTCCGTTGTAAATCAAGTGCCTAGCCTTACGTTTGACTTATAAGTCTGCGATTTGCATGACAAAGGCTTTATTTATGGTGTAGGTTAGGCTGTGAGGGTACTTAGTTCGCCAGTGGACGGAACTGATGTCTTACAGGAGAGTCCGTATTAATGATGTGATTTCCTTCTGTTTAATAATAATAACAGTAATAATGATTATTATTTTTGGCCAAGTTACAAAATACCTAGTCCCACTGCAAAGTGATAATGATTACAAATGAGTGCGCTTAAACGATCATTAGCTAAAACTGTTCTTCAATATGTTTATGCCAATGTATCCTGGATTAATAAAAACAATGATCAACATTTAATTCCAACTAATGTTAACCTATATTCAAGTATATTAATAGATACATTGCCATACTGTGGGTGAATGCAATTTAATAATAAGTATAGTAAATTTTATTGACAATTTATTAGACTTTAGTCCTTTAAAATAAAAATTCTGTAAAAAACTTAAGTTATTGTATCTAGTAATGCTCTAGTTATTGAAGATGTTTATCACAAACCCATTGAATTTTATGGCTTCTTGCGTCGTGAAACCATTAAAGCAATTTTAGAAAAGCTAATTATGAAGTAGTCAATTACTGTTTTCGCAGTTTGCGCTGGTATAGTATGTTTTTGAATAAATCTGTCAATGACTCATTGAGACTTTATTTATGAAAAGATAAACTTTGCCGTCGCAAATTTTGTTTCTAAAATAACAATAAATAGAAAATATCCTACTTATTTTAGATATAATACTATAAAAATTATTAAAGAGAAATATAAGGGTTCATACAAGGTGGAAGGTGTGTCAAAATGAGATTGATTATAGTAATTTCTGCAACTTAATGCGTAAAACTAAAAAAATGATTAGGACTGATTATAATAACTATGTAAGATCTATTGAGGATGGTGTACCTGAGAATGGAAAACATTTTTGGCACTATGCTTCGGTAAAAAAAGCTCAGCCAGGTATTTCAAATGTCATGTTGCATAACGATACCTTTGCCAAAGATGGCAACGCTGTTTGTAGTCAGTTTACATCATTTTTCAAAACTGCGTATGAACCTTATAGTCAGACATTTTTATGATGTAGCTCAGGAAATAATAGTAATATAAGTAGTATAAGAGTCGATCATGATGAAGTTCTGAATATTCTGGTCAACATAGACGAAAATAAGGGTGCTGGCCCTAATGGAATTGCTTCAAAAATGTGCCAATTCACTATATATAGGTACCACTAACTATTTTATTTAATAAATCGTTCGAAGAAGATGAATTTCAACAATTGTGGAAGGAAGCTTTTGTGATACCTATTTTCAAAACTGGTGAAAGAAATTTGGTAAAAAACTATCGTCCGATCAGTAAATTAAATATTTTTGGTAAAGTACTGGAAAAGGTGAGTTAAATCGTCAATAATTTCGCGACAGCACGGTTTTTACCCTCAAAAATCAATTAAATCGAACCTAATACAATATACGAACTATATTAGTAACTTTACATGGATTGTCAAATTCAGTTAGATTCAGTATACACCGATTTTAGCAAGGCGTTCGTTAAAATCAACCACAACATTTTTATAGCTAAATTTGTTGAGATCGGCGTGCATGGAAATTTTTTAAGATGGCTTACATCATATATTTTCAATAATTCGCAGCTGGTAATAGTTAGAGGTTACCGCTTTTTTTTTCATTCACAGCTACTTCTGGAGAACCTCAAGAATTTCACTTGGGTCCATTATTATTCTTGATCTATATAAATGATATAAATAAATGTTTTAAATTTTGTAATTTTTATGCAGATGATCTTAAAATATATTCTAAAATAAATAACCTTGCAGATTGTACATTATTTCAAAATGATTTTGATCTATAGCTACTGCTTGTTGAATAAACTACATTTAAATTTCAAGAAATGTCATTATATTTGTTTTACTCGCAATAAAAATTTATTTAGGTTTGACTATAACGAAAGGCTTTCTTACTTACAGGAGATAAAAGACCTAGGTATTATTTTTGATAGAAAATTAACTTTCGCTCCGCATATAGATTACATCGCATTGAAAAGTAGTAAGATGTTAATGATAAATCATTGGAGTATCTAAGGATTTTAGAAGGGTAAATTCCTTAATGTCATTATATTTTGCTTATGTTTACAGTATGATAAATTTTTCTTTCAACCATTTCAATCCCCAGTATGTGGTTTATAACTCCCATCTTGAAGTGATTCAAAACAAAATTTCTTAGGTATTGGAGTTTTTAAATAGCGATGTGTTGTTTTTTGGTGCAGTTTTTTGACGAGTATTTATACTGTGAATATTTGTACGGTATGTAGTTTTCTTTCAAAGATGTAAGGATTTTTTTTATTGTAATATATTTGAAATACTTCATTTTTTTTATCCCATATAAGACGTAAACACAAATTTTGTCACTATTGATTAGGCTCATAAACAGACAGGTAGGGACCATAACCGAAGATGCAGTAATTTGTATTACTTCATTACTATAAGAGACTAGCAGAGCAATCTTTTTCATTTTGTATCATCTACTCTGGTTTCTCATTTCAGATTAAACTTTTGCAAAATGCATGAAACCTGATCGCTGAACTTGCTTTCCAATTTTTGGCTTTGTATTTATGGTAAGGATACTTTATAAATTTTTATGGAAATATTTCTCAGCAATGTTGAACGAAGCAACATAACAGATTTATTTGAATTAATGATTAAATTACGTTTAATAGAATTATTTAACAAGACATCTAGGTCAGTATTAATTTCCTGGAATGATTTTAATTCTTCTTTTTTTTCAGCAAATCTGTACAACTGCGTATCGTCGGTGTATGTATGGGCCTTACAGTACTTGCAATACTGAAGAAAAATTGCTTGTGTATAAAATAGGGACTCAAGTATTGAACCTTTGGCCAGGTATCGTCCAATTTGGTGTATGAGTGACGATACGCCCATACTCTTTGAGTTATGTCTGTGAGATAGTGTCTCAGTGTGTCAGGGAGGCTCTAAGCAAATGGACTGAGACAGGAAATACTGGACTTCAAGGCGAAGGCAAAGCCATTCTAAGGAGCTTATGGAGTATCCCTTAAAGAAAAGAACAAGCTGCTGAGCTTGAATAAAATTTGGCTCAGGAAAGTGACGGGACTTATATCGAAACACTGTCACTTTAGAAAACATCTACATAAGGTAAAACTTGTAGACAGTCCAGTCAGCCCAAGATGTGACTCGGCGGATGCCCAGGATCTGCAAGTAGTCGAATGTCGCTCCTGGGAAGACCCTGTTTGGAACCCAAGGAGCTGAGAGAAGTGTTGACAAGAAAGCTTTTGGAGTTTTTAAAAAGGACAGAACTACTAGCTGAATAGGACTGAGTAGTGGGACGCACAATAGGCCTGATAAGGCCTTGGTGCCATAGGACTTATCAGAACCAACCAACTACTAGAAAAAAGAATAGGAAGAAGATTAAAGTATTTAAAAAATTATAGAGTGCGGGATAGTACCAATAAAGTGTAATACTTTGCCAAGAATGCTGAAGACTGCCAAGAATAGTTCTTGGTTAATTGTTGTCGTATATCATTAGCATACCAGACTTTCTTTTATCCAGTTCCTCTAGAGAAGGAGAAAAAAATCTTTTTCAGCCAGGAATGCATGTAGGTACCAAACTCATTTCTAAATTTTTGTACCCTAAATATCCTTCAAGGTTCCAAAGATAGGATCAGAAGAAACAAGATCAGGGTTGTACTGCGAATCTCAAATTTCAGTCTTCAGAGGACATAATGTGTTCATGAAGAGAAAAGTGGAAGATTTAGGCAGCATTATTTGGACTTACATTGATTCAAGGATTACTCAGTCAAAATTTGCATCAATCTGTATATTTTGAGTTTGACAGCCAATAAAATCATTGGCTTCAGGGTATCCCGAGTTTTTTATCCTATGTAATAACTGTAATTGATACCTTCCATCTTTATCTGATCTCTTTCCTACGGTATATCATTTCGTAATTGGATAAAAACGATAAAAATTGAACTTAATTAAGGAGAGTAATGCGATAATCGCCGTAACATAATACCCCAAGTCCAGCCTCGAAGTGGTTAGCCAAGTTAAAGGAAGTGCGCCTAACTGATATAATTATTATAATTAATGGAATCGAGATAAGGCTTAGGTCGCATCAGAAAGATGTATGTATGTGTCATGTCTTTCCGTACGTTATAAAATAATTAGCGATATATACTTTACGCGATATTCTCGAAAAAGGAAGTAATTAGCGGTAAGAATATTTAATTCGCGGTAAATGAGTCTGAAAAGCCAACGCGAGTTTCCGATTACTTATTATATGATGTATGACAATAGAAATCTATTTCTTGAACTATTTTTGCACGGAGTTAAAGAATCGATTTAAAAATAGGATAAATTTTTCATTCCTCTCCATTTGACTGCCAACATACATGAATATTTTTTAACAGATGCATTTCATTTTTGGATCATGAGAAGTGAAGCGGCTAACTATAATAAAAAACTCAGAATCGTGAGAAGAATCGGGATTTGCCATAATCAAGCACCTTAGATGGAGGAACTCACGGTAATCTCTTCACTCACTTGAATCATGAGAGGTAAAGGGACTCATCCTAAATCTGAATCTGAATTTAAAAATGTTCCACCACATCTTGATTTTGAGATACTCCTAAATGTGCACAAAAGCCATTTTGACGTGTTTTTGAAGTTATGTCACACCTACAGATTATTTCCTTAATTGTATACATGAACTTAAAGTACTTCTCTTTTCCTTTGATTTATTTGTTTCGATACGACCTTTTTTCTCTAGGATATCGCCGATTACAGTTTGATTGGTTCCAATATTTAATCAATAACGTTCGGGTGACGGCTAAAATATTTGTAAAACTTTTTAACTGATGCATTTTTCATTGAATCATGAGAGGAGGAGAGGCTCACGTTAAGCAAGCACTCTGATGCGTGAGAGGCGACTACACTCACGTTCATCAAGCACTTGAATCGTGAGAGACGAGAGTTCTTACGTTAATCAAGCACTTGAGTCGTGAGACGAAATGGAACTCACGTTAATTAAGGACTTTAATCGTGGGAGATGTGGAGACTCACGTTAATCAAGCACTTGAATCGTGAGAAGAAATGGAACTCACGTTAATAAAGCACTCTAATTGTGAGAGATGTGGGAACTCACGTTAATCAAGCACTTGAATCGTGAGAAGCGAGAGGACTTACATTAATCAAGCACTTGAATTGTGAGAAGAAATGGAACTCACGTTAATTAAGGACTTTAATCGTGGGAGATGTGGGAACTCACGTTAATCAAGGACTCTAATCGTGAGAGATGTGGGAACTCACGTTAATGAAGCATTTGAATCGTGAGAAGAAATGAAAAAATTCATATCATCATTACTTTCAAAACATAATCTTAAAAGTCTTAAGACATTAAAATTTGGATTCTATCGAGATACTTTGCAAATGAAAAAAATTACGATTTAATACATAGCAATCGGAGGATTTAAGGATTTAAGATCTTCAATGCAATAATTGACTTTTCACAGGACTTATCAATTATGCTCTTTAGTCTTGATAAAATAAATATTTAACATTTCTATCAAGCCTTTGAATGTGTTTGTCTCACCAGGACCCAAAATTGAAGAGAATGGACTACTTTCGTCTGTATCTGTCTTGGATATTTCATTACGGCTACTATCTCACGTATTGCTTACCCACTTCTTATGGAACGGGCTCTTAAATCGCCGCTCCTAAAGGATATCGAGTTTTTTGCGTATCCTGCTGGATAACGAAAAGGCGGAAACGTCGACTCCGTCCCATTAATTATCGTTCATAAAACGTTCCGCTGTAATGTATGGTCACGAGCGATGATAAAAATAAAGACTTATAATAACTGTTAGTGTAATTGTGAATTGCTTAATCGGTTATTGCATAGCCGGGAGGTTATTAACTACCAATTTACTGGAAAAAACAGCCGTACTTTAGCTTTAATGATTTCAGTGGAAGAAGAATGATTTACTGTCGTTTATTCGTTCATTATACTTTAGTGGTCGCTAATGCATTTGTCAAGGTCGGGATATTGGAAGAAAAAGAGGGAAAATAGTAGGGAAAGTCGTTGAACAATAGGAATTGGATAATGTTATAAGTCATTGCTACCTAGATTATAAATAAAAAACCTCAAAGTTTAGCGTATGACGTCACTTCAGAGGTGATTCCTAGATGTTGAAGATTTAATTAAGGTAAAAAAATTTGAGTTATCAATATCCATTACTGAGAAGTCAACGCCTACTGAAATATAACCAATGTGGTATCGCGAAACAACGTCTTCACATATCACTTTTAAAAAAATTGAGGTTTTTACTTGATACACAATTTTATTTATTTTGTTGCAATATATTACTCTGCGTATGTACGAAAGTAATATACAGGAAACTACTTTTTTTGTAGTTCCCCCTCCATTGACGACATACCTTTATACGTACGCCTATGATTTTCTAATTGTCTAATAGGTACAAAATTTAATTATAGATTTTTTTGTGTCTTGTAAAATTTAAGTATCTGACATGGATTACGATACGACTTTAAATGTACCTAATGAAGTTTACTGAAACTGTACCGAATTGTTTTGTAGATCGATAATTAAAACCAATGAGGTTTAGATACTTAATTAAATATACTTATCGCAAAGCGAATTCGAATTGGAAACGTAGGTAGAATTAATAAATAATAAAGAAACTTAAAACTAATAATGAGAATTAGTAGAACTTATTGACAACCTTTGGAATATCTACATAAAAAAGGGGAATATTTGTGGCCGTAAATGGTGTGACGTCCGCTCCTTTGTCCCGTTTCTTGTAGTAATCAGAAACATTGCTAGTTCAATTTTAGAACGATTTTAAAAAAGTTTTTATACTATCAGTACGGTAGATCAGTATGTATTAAAAATCTTTCTATATACACAATATATTTTCTGCCAATCGATTTATTTACATTTCAAAGAAGTTTGTAAATATGTTGTATTTATACGCTATAAAATATACTGCGTACAGCAGCAAAAATCATTCTATTTTGGGACAGGTTAAATGAGAAATAACTTCGTAGGTCGTTATACATGTCTATAATAACGCCAGGGCAAATTTAAGAAGCATTATCCGTGAAATAATTCAATAATGAGAATTACCTAAGTACCTAACATTGAAGACACCACGGGTGTTATAGGATAATAACACCCTCAGTCGACATATATTGTGGACCTATGATCATCCATTATCCAGAGAACTAAATTCAGGGATGAAATATTTTCAGTTCCTGAGATTTTAAATGTTCGAAATTGAGGAAAATTAAATAACAGATATCCTACGTTTTCTCGCAAGGTACAATTAAAGTCTGGTGAGTAAAACCACTAGTTTGCAACTTCTAAAAAAACTTTCAAATACCACATCTGAAAACATTAAAATCAAAATATACAGGGTGTAACGCATGCTGATGGCCAAACTTCAAGGGGTTAATTTTCAACGAAAAAGTATTATAAGATTTTTTTGGAAAGTTGATAATTGCTCTTTTATTTAACATTTTTTTATTTCAAAAAATGTTGTGCCTTTTTTCATAAAAACACAAATATCTCTGTTATTCTTACAGCCACATCAAATTTAGACATCGGAAAGAGCGTTAAATATACTACAAGACGGGCATACATGATTGTTTAAAAAAACTTCTATACCAGGTGCTGTAAAAAGGTAAATGTAATAATTGTGAAATGAGCAAAATTAGTGGTATCTCCTTATTGGTGATAACGCCAAAAATTTGTTAATGAGGACGTTTTTTTTCTTCAGCAAAAACTACTGTATTTAGTAAGCTTTTCAACGATATATCAACCTTTTGAGTTTGCTATTTTTTTGGCAGCAATATCAAGGGCAAAGGTAATAAAACTGTAGTTTTATAAAATCGTATACGATGGACTATTATTATAACAGAAACGAGAAAAAATTGATCGTTGTATATCGAAGATAAGAACCAAACTTTTGCGTTTTAAATAAAACAGAATATACAGGGTGTAATTAATGCAACAAAATTTAATCGCAGATCTTAGGACAAATTTAGGGAACCCGTATTTTTTATTTTTGCCAAGTGGCCTCCTCTTTCGGAGTTATAACCTCCTGAAATCCGTCCCTAAGAATAGTCTTTCGTTTATATCTCAGAACCCTGTTGTATGAGAATCGCTAAAATTTTATGGCAGGTGAAATCTGATAGTGTTTCGCTTTTTGGCGAGACCTCCTTAAGACACTTTTTCGTGGGCCTCCTTATTTTTGGAGCCAAAAAAAATTTGATCGCAAATTTCAATTTCTTAAAAATTATTGGTTCACTATAAAACCTTTGAATTTAGAGATTTTTTTGTCTCTTGACATTTTGTTCCTATAAGGCAATGTTTTCAAGAAAAATGGCAATATATGATCGAATGCATATCGTGATTCGTGATTCGTATGAAATTCTACGTGTTAATTGCAGGTGGCTGGGGATGCATTCGATCACATTTTGCCATTTTTCGCGAAAACATTGCGTTTTATAAAAATATATCAAGCGACAAAAAAGTTTCTAAATTCAATGGCCTTTCTAGCGGACTAATAATTTTTAAGAAATTCAAATATGATTAAATCTTGGGACCCCTAAATTTGTCTTAAGAAACTGTGATCAAATTTTGTTGCATTAATTTCGGGCGTTTCACTTCAAAAACAATAGTTTGGTTTATATCTTCGAAATGCTTCCTAAAACTGAATTTTGACAATTCCGAGGACAATTCATTCACCGAATTAATTACTAATTGCATTTATACAAAATCTCTTTAAGGACCGACACAAAGCGTCCCGATTTTCGAACTTAAAGGAAACCACAATGCACCGCCCACACCAAGGCTTTGTCATGTCGCGTGACGCTGATACCCAAACTAGAAAGAAGAGATGAAAGAAACAAAAGAGGGTCACAGCTAGGCACTCACCGATCTCCGATATCCTGGTGATCTCTTTGATCTGCGCCCCTCCGTTGAAGGTGGTGAGAAGGCCGGAGGGAGGCAGGGAGGGGGAGGCGATGACTTCTTGTTGGACCCTCTGCCTCGCGATGGCTATGCCGACGGGGATGTTGCCGCCTGGAACGCAAGGCACTTCGTGAGGCACGAGCAGGCGGCCCACCCCCCGTCTGGGGGTCGGGTAAGAGGGGTGGTGTTGGCGATAGAAGTGAATTCGTTCGGTTCTTTCTGTTTTATTCAAATTTAAATTCATGAAATGCCGAACATTAGGTTTTTTTTTAATTTGGTGATTTCTGATGATATGGTAAATGTGGAGAGGGGGTCAACTTCTACGTTTTTGGGGCATTTATGATATTTCCAAAGGTATGTTGTGTATGATACAATATTTGAAAGGAAATTTCATGTAGACTTCAAAGATCAAACATATACAGGGTGTGCCAGAAAGTAGTGGCTATACAGCAACAACAAATTCCCCAGTTAAAAGAAATTGAAAGTGTCAACTTAATCCAAAAATGCTTCGTTGGAAAGTTAAAGGGTGTTGAAGATTTTTTCGTTAATATCTGATCAGTGACGTGATATCTAATCAAATTTCAATATTTGACACTTACGCTTAAACGAATTCTATTCTTAATTTTATTATCTACATAGATTTTATAGAACCATGTTTTGTATGTATCGTTTGTTTAATACAAAATTGAATAGTTTTGGTCAAATGATTGTATTATTTCAAGAATATATTTTCTCAGTAATAACAAATATTTTGTTTCAAACTCACAACACCTAGTACAACAGCTAGGATCGTTCGTAAGATTAATCAACCAGACATAGGTCGGTTTGGCATTTATTGATGGTTCTCGTCATTATGTTAGAACGATCCAGCTGCGTTAGTGTCGTTACTCACAAGGAGATGTGTATACACAGAGCGTAAGTGCTGGCTCCATCTATCGCGCTACTTCCCACCTACGCCATTCTGTGACCTACAATTTTCTTTCAAGAAAACGTAAGTTTGATTATAATATGCCACATTTGTCTTAAATAATTCCTACATTAATACTAAATTTTAAATATATAAATATATTTTAAGGAACTTGTAGTTTTGAAACAAATATATTTGTAGTTTATGATGAACTGTAAAAAATATTGTAGCTAAAGTCCGAGATAATTCTAAGAAAAATTATAGATTACAGCAAATATTTCACATAGTGTGACGAAAGTATATAAATTTGAATAGAATACATTTACAGCAAATAATTCCATTTAAAACTATCTGCTCATTTGATCCAAGTACTTTTTTTTCAGTGTATCAGTGAAAATATTTTTCTCGTCTGTGGAACTTTTCAGGAAAACAACAGAAAGTTTATGTGTGTTAATTATGTGTTGATCCCGCACAACAAATGGTTCCTTCTTCAAAATAACTAGATTTCAAGTAAAAATTATTACATTGCTAATACGAAAAAAAAAAGTTTAAGGTACCATGTATTGGAAACGAAAGATTACGCAAAAGCTTCTATTTTTTTTCGAAGTTGCAAATTAAATCTTCTTGTTTCCTCGAAATCTAACAATTTTAAAAGCAATCAACAGATCACTTAGAAATGCAGTTTTCCTTAAAAGAAATGTTTTCAAAAATAGAAAGAAATGTTTCCAGATGGTTTTTATTCCTTTGAATTTCGAACCGGTATCGTATGCTAATTCTGAGATAATGGAAAACCATTCTAAAAGTAAGAGTTTAAGACCCTGTAACATTTAAAAGAATCATTTTTGGACTAAAGTAAATTGACTTAAATTCAATTATTTTGACCTGATGAATCTGCAGTTGCTGTATCACCACTGTTTTCTAGGACACCCTGTAGGGCGTATTATATTTAAAGACATACGATTGTGTTAAAACTGAAAAACCGAAAATTATAGAAAAAATCGCTTATGCCTCTGAAAATTAAGCAAGATTCAGCATAAAATGTCCTGTATCTCTCAAACTATCTATTCAAGAAGGAAATGGTATTTTTTAAGGAGTTGTGACATCTTATCTACTTTTTGTCTGTCTCTTGGGAAACATAGAAACCACCCAAAAGTACCAAATTTGACCCATTTAGTACAGAGTGTTTTTTATGTGCATAACATCAAGAAGTGGTTGTTCTGTGTTCATTTTACGTAGAAAAGCCTTAAGAAAAAATGATCTAAATCACTGGTCACTGATTTTCAAGTTTCCGTATACTGAAATTAAAGACAAAAATAACCATATTTGTATTTTTATGAAAATGTGGCCTAATTTTTTGTCTCTTTCATTCAGACTATAAAACATCAAATCCAAGGTCATCGGCATATTGGTTTCTTTATATCCTACAACTTTTATTTGAAACTTTTTTGATAGAACTCAGTCCTGAAAAGCTGTCGGGGTGTTCTGGTCTTGGGACACCTTGTATATGATACACATAAGAATGTATTGTGATTTACAGAAGTGTAGATGGATTTACAAAAAATTTCCAGTAATTTAAAGAGGAATTACCGGATTTATTATGAAAAAAGAATGCATGTGTACACTTTTTAGCCAGTGTATTTCCCAGTGTTTGTATAAAGAGATAAAAAGTAGACACAACTCAAAAAGTTTTGGGAACTAACTTCAATACATTAAACACAGGTTATTTACACGTCAACATATAAATTTTCTATGAAAAGACTGAACATATTCAACTCACCATTTGTACTAATGATGGAATTGCTCATCATCCCATTATCTCCATTCTTCTGGGTGGGCGAGGTGACCTCCAGCTTGACCATAGGAGAGGCGCTCGTGCTTATCTCCGCCACCTGACAAGCCCCCGGTTCCTTCTTCACGTTCACCCCGCTCCATTCTATGGGGTTGGTCCTCGAGCACCCGTTGATGGCGTCCGAGTACTTGGACGCTTTCACCGGGGAGCCCAGCTGGCAGCTGCACGCCTTCTGCGGCTTGAGGCTGCAGCATTTGTCGTCGCAGAGTTTCTCCTGCGCTTTTTTCGGGCTGGGGGGGTAATCGGGCTGCTGGATGATGATGTTGGAGTTGAAGCCCTTGGTCAGCAGCTCCAGCTGCGTGACGGGGATGGGGGAGTAGGGGGAGCCGGGCGGCGGCGTCGGCGCGCCGAAAGTGTAGCCCGACGTCGAGAAGAGGGAATCTGAAACTGAAGAAACATGCTTCGATTATTGTCCATTTCTACCACATTTACGTAACACTCTACCTCCTTTGTCTTTTTTGCCTTTCTATCTAAGAAAAAATGGTAAATATCATATATGAGTATATAGGGTGTCCACACTTATCGGCGCACTATTGCTAACTCTGTTATTATTGGAGATACGAAATTTTTTTCTATCGATTCTAATGGTGCAATCGAAAAAAACAATTGAGCATCGCGTTTTCGTAATTTTTAAAAAACATGTTTTTTTTAATGGAACACCCTGTATATATTTACATATTTTAAAAGAAAAAAATATTGTGGACGAAGAAGTATTAATACATAACTCTCTTCAATGAAAAATATGTCTGAGACTGCTTTAGAAATTCCTACGATAATTTTGTTATTATTAGTTTTGTTAAATTGTGTACTGCTCATAGTTTTGCCATTTATTTGTCTTGGCTACACTAAGTTAATACTGTAATCTTAAATCTTTCAAGGAATGTTAAGATACCCATCTACCTACCTAGTTATCATTCAAATAATCAGGACTGTTAAAATTTCGTATATGAAGATCAGATTAACAAGGTCTCGAAGGTCTAAGTTTACTTGTGTTTTCTTCTAGGCTTATTCTTTCTTCAAATTTTATCTTTTCTATAAATCAGTACGTAGAATATGAGGAATACCTAGATCTGGGGTGCCTTAAGGGTCGATTTTAGGACCTTTATTATTTCCATTATATAAAGATGACCTGCCACTGCATTTAGTATGTTGTTGCTGTTATTATGCAGATCATTTGAAAATTTGGTACATAGTTCGTGATATTGATGACTGGCTGTTGCTACAAAGATATATTAATGATGTGTATCTCAAACCATCTCGATACTAATAAACGTTATGTTCAACATTCACAGAAATGTAATTATTTATCGTTTCCATATACTCCTAATATTGATAACGTTGCTTTGAATCGTTTAACTCAAATAAATAATATTAGTGTATTATTCCATTAGATTTATTTTTCTGAACATTCTAAAGGATAGTAAGGTGTTAGGACTTATTGCACACGACAGTAGAGAATTCTCCAATTTTTCTATTCTTTTGTATGTTTTGTGCGTAGTAAGTTATAATACGGTGTCCTTGTGTGGCATCCTTATTATGCATCATACACATATGTAGGTATATAGTCAAGTAAAGTCTCATATTTAAAAAGCTTGGTGTGTTTCGTGAACATGGTATTGATTATTATGCATTGCTACGTTTCTTTCGTTTCTTTAAGTACGTTTCGCTTTGTTTTAACAACTTTTTTCTACAGTTTGCTGCATAATAACATTACGTGAGACTATTTATCAAGAAAGGGATATATTGAGGGTTAATGATTGACTCAAACGACTTTCTACTATATGAACATCAAAGAATTAATATTTTTGAGGCCACCTATATCAATTTCTAGTAATAATTTCATTTTAATTTGTGGTAATTGTTATGTTAATCTTTCAATGGTGAGTGAAGACAATGGTCTTCTACATATTGATGTATCCTTCATTAACACATGTGTAATTATTCTTTCATTAATGTAAACCTACATATTTCACCTCTTGATTTTTTAATACGTTTTATATTGTTTCTCACAAGCACTTGTCAGTCTTTGTAGGTTAACAGCCAAAATTATAATTTTTCTTAATGGTGGAAATAAAGAAATATTTATTTTAAGACTGCTCTACTTAAAAAGCAAATGTGTTAAATTATAATTTAATTGAATAATTATTCAGGAGGAATAAATCCTCGGAAATAATAATTGAATAATTATTCAAAATATAATTGTAGTAGATAAAAGCTTACCTAATAGAAAACTAAAGTATTTAGTCGCTACAAAATATGTCTAGTTAGCAACTTGTCAAACTAAAATTGTCATAATCTTCCCTTTCACATATACAGCCTGATTTTTACAGTAAGTATTTGCTTGACGTCACCAAATTATATTTCCAATTTCACACCTCTTTTTACAAAATATGAGAGTTCTCATTTTTCTTTATAGCTTTTATTTAAAAAGTTTTTCGGTATCTCTTTCCCATATAAAGTAATAAAATGATGTGTATAGAGAAATATACTGGTTCGATCAAGTCCATTACTGATTATATTAGAATTGCTATTGTTTAAAATCATTATTCCATAAAACCGGTCTCAATAAGTTTTCTATTTACTTGAATTACCCAGAAGTACATATTTTCATTAAATTATCTACGAGCAGCATGCTTATTAAGGAAATTTAAATAAAAAGCTATCGACAAACAATAATTAAAGATAATTGCAAACTATTATTTACAATGTAATGCAGTTGTTATATTTTTTCCAATTCAGATTTTAAAAAATCTCTGAAACAGGTCAATTAGTAAATAGAAATTGTCACCTTTTTGCCAGCTATCCATTGCATCTATTTTCGGTGAGGTAGCATAAAATGGCAACAATTTTATTAAAATCGTTTATAAGCGAAAAACGCACAGTTTTTTAATGCAAAATTTGAGAATGTTAATGTAAAAAATAACATTGATATTTTTTAATAGGACGCTTTCAGAATCATGTTTGGTTGAAAATTAACGCCTGTACACAGGCTTAAAGTTCGTAACTTTTGGAGCCTCCGTTATAAACAAATTGAATCGTGCGAAAACTATTGCACCTACAGCGCCCACTTTTGGCACACTTTTAAAGTATGACAAAATCCTCAAGTTGTCATAGGTTTTATAAAATTTTAACAATAAATGCGATAGTTATAAACAAATTAAGAAATGGGCACTTTTCTTGTTTTTTGCAATAACTTTTTTGTTTATTAACCGATTTTAATTTAACAAGTCTCATTTTGTAGATAATTTAATTCCCTACAAGTTCGCTAAAATTGATGGTTTTCCCTGCAAAGTGAAAAAACTGTTTTCCTCACTTATTTGTTTGAATAGAAAAGTTAGCTAATAAAATTTTTTGACTAACGAGATAAGAGATGTCTTGTATTATTTTCCTTTTTACAATTTTACAATAATATCGCGGATAGGAATTTTTTCGAGTTTCTCTTTTTTTTCGCTAATTTCCTGGTCTATATACCTATTGAATTGAAAGGAAAATCTAATTTCTCCCCATTATAATCACTTTGTGTAAGTTGGATACATTTGGAATTACAGTTATTAAATTATTTTGCTGTAGTACCGAAATTATCCATTGTCTAAAGTAATAAACGCAGATGAGACAGTTACGGGAGAAAATCAAGCGACCATAATCGACGGGGTCGTACCGGCCGGCCCCGCAGGCATTGTTCCTCCGTGCAGGTCCAAGTGTGCCACGCACTATTTATCGCGGTAGGCGGGCATTTAAATCCCGTGAGTGACATTTAGAATAATCGCTAAGTGAGCTGTGAGCCAACTTCCGGAGCGAATTCAACTAGAGGCGAGCCGTTGCTCGCTTCCGGTCCGTCTAGATTGCGAGGTGCACGGCGTTTGATGTTCACTTGTTATTTATTGCCTCTCATTACCTCCTCGGCGGGATAAATAATGCCTGCTAGGCCTGGCGGAGACGTTCCCGTTTGCGTTTTTTCGCCATTCGGAGGGTGTAGCTTCAAAATTTATTTTGTGCGACAGTCGTAATTTTCTAGGTGTTTTACAAGTTAGTTTTCAGTCACTAAAATTAAAGTTCAGATATACCGGGTGTCTCATTTTAAAAAATATACATGAATATCTCTTAAGGGCTTAATGAAAAAATTTTTCATATAAAAATTGTAGGGTTTTTTGTTGCAAAATTAATTTCCGTCTTGCCGAATAGTGTACTCGGGGGTTTTCGGATGTAAAATTTTCTGCTCTTTTCATTTATGGTGTCAAAAATGTGTTTCCATTTGAAAAAATCTACTTGACCTTGAAATGACCTCGAAGGTCATAGTCAAGGTCACCATTAGATGTCCCCTCAAAACCCTACAACTTTTATTTGAAAATTTTTTTATTAAGCCCTTAACTTAAGAGATTTTTTAAAATGGGACACCCGGTATAAATTATAATTTAAATAAGGAAAACAACATCAAACACACCCACAAAAAAAATCCGTACCAGAGACAGTGTAAACGCAAAAATTTTAGTAGTTTTTGTGTAGTTTATCATGGCATTCTCAGAATTTTTATAAACTGTCACGTTTTTGACATATGAAAACAACTAAGGTAAGGTAAGGTAACTAATCTAACCATACATATACAGGGTGTATCCCGAAGAGGGCCCAGTAGGATTATCTCAAAAAGTAGTCGGAAGTCCATGTTCTGCTTTTCTAGTAGACTTTTCGGGATTTTCATGAAAATACAAAATATTCAATTCTACATCTTCGTTCCTAGCACAATGCCTTAATTTTCTTTTTAAAGGTTTTCGTTCTTCCTAGTGACTTCATTTGACAGGATTTCTTTGAATTAGTTTAATAAAGGGTGGTCAAACCATAATGCACGATGTTAATTGTGAGTCACATTAAGTTTTTTGCCCAACTTAATTTGACATTTCTTTGTTTCAGTGTTTGACAAATTCAACCATGGAGAGGTACACAATTGAGCAGCGCGTTAAGATTGTTGAAGCCTTTTTACGAAAATGGGCGTTCCAATCAAAATGCATTTCGTGCACTTCGTGATTTTTTTGGTCAGCATAATCGACCAAATGTGTCCACAATCGGGAGAATTGTGCGCAAATTTCAGCAAACCGGGTCTGTAGGAAATGTGAAAATACCTGTGCATGCTCGCCCAGTTCGTTCTGCGGAAAACATTGCTGTTGTTCGCGATAGTGTGGCAGAAGAGCCGTCAACCTCGACTCGTCGTCGTGCCCAACAATTGAACATCTCACCAACATCACTGATGCGAATTTTGAATAAAGATTTGAATTTACACGCTAACAAGGTTCAATTGACTCAAGAGCTGAAGCCTACTGACCATTTCAAGCGTCGTCAATACGCCGAATGGCTGGTTGAACAGACAGAAGTGAATGGTGACTTTACAAAGAAAA